ATATTATTTGTTATTACAAGTACAGCTATACTATCCAACTTAGTGTAGCTTCGTAAGTCCTCTTCGTACTTAGCCATAGCTGCTGAATCCCCAGCACTACTATCTGGCACTTCCGGTTTTTTAATTGATCCATTTATTACATCCGTTATACCGTCTATTCCCCTTAATAGTGCTGACATGCGATACTTCCAATGTATCCAATTTTCACCTTCTAATTTATTAATTTGAAATTTCGACAAATCCATTTTGAAGTTTGGTATTAGCCCATAACCTAATATAGGAAATTGGTAGTAGCACTCACCAGTATTAAGCAACGCCGGGATCAGGATCAGTGTTAAGGAAAACCAGGACTAGGATTTTGGATACCTACACTAGTTAATATTAGTCAGTTAGCAAGTTCAGTCAATGTTCATAGTATATAAGACAAAAAGGTAATCTGTCATAAAAAAATATTATTTTCTTTTTTTATTTTACATTGACAAGCGCTGCTAGAATGCATATCGCCTGCCATTGAACCAAGGAGGTTCTTAACATAAACTAGCCATATAACACAGACACATTTTAATAAAAAGTATATTGTCAAAATGTCAAATTAATTCGCTTGAAAATTACTGATCTAAATGAGTTGTTAAATTAATTATTATTTGTTATTTTTAATTCTCTTATTATATACACTGTCATATATTCAATCTTTTATTAATATCACTCCTTCTGTATATCAACACGCCAACCATAACCACACTGGTGACACCCTATTGAACATTTTTATTTGAAAAATTTTGAAGATAAAATATGACAGAGAGCAGCACTACATCTACAGTACGAGACGGTATGTCATCTGAAATTTTTAAAGTAGCAATAAAAGTACCACCCTTTTGGCCCGAAGAGCCGGAAATATGGTTTGCTCAGGTGGAAGGACAATTCGCTATTTCAAAAATTACCAATGATTTAACCAATTTTAATTACGTAATAGGTCAACTCGACCAACAATTTTCTAAAGAGGTAAAAGACGTAATTATCAATCCGCCTGTAGAGGGAAAGTATGACAAGCTCAAATCAGAATTAGTTAAGCGTCTCACTGCATCAAAGGATAAAAAGGTGAAACAATTATTAATGCATGAGGAGCTGGGAGATCGCAAGCCCTCGCAGTTTCTAAGACATTTGCAGAGTTTAGCTGGACCGAAGGTACCGGATGAGTTTCTTCAAACGATTTGGACCAGCCACCTTCCTGCACGTATTCAGACCATCCTTATAGCACAACCTACGGCTGATTTAGATGTATTAGCGGATCTAGCTGATAGAATCATGGATCTCACGCCATGTTCACCCCACGTTGCTGTCATGAGTCGTGATGATGCAGGCCCTAGTTCCAGTAATATGGCGAATGAAATAGCGGAGTTGCGTAAACAAGTGAAGTTACTCACTATGCAATTGGATCGTCGTCAGCGCTCTAGGTCTAGAAATTTACATTCACAACGTAGCCGATCATCATCAAGGTCCCATACCAATTATAAAAAGTTTCCCGTATGTTGGTATCATCAGAAATTTGGTAACAAAGCGAACAAGTGCGTAAAACCATGCGACTATAGTCAGGAAAACTAACAAGGCAGTCGACAGTGGCGACAAGCGATTGCCCAATTTCTAGTAGTCGCCTTTTCGTTACGGATCGGAATACAAAGACTCAGTTTCTCGTTGATACCGGAAGCGATCTCTGCGTCTTTCCTCGATCACTACTACGAGAACGTCGCACCAAGACCAATTATCAACTGCGTGCTGCCAACGGAAGCGTCATCGATACCTACGGCTACGCACATTTGAATCTGGACTTGGGACTACGTAGGCAATTTCCATGGAGATTTGTAGTTGCTGATGTAACTAAGTGTATTATAGGTGTAGATTTTTTATCATTTTATAATTTAATTGTTGACTGTTATAATCAATGTTTAATAGATAATACCACTACACTTACTGCGAAAGCTACACATTCACATCCTTCCAACACAATTCAATCTATTAAAGTTTTAATAGGTGATTCTAAATTTCATAATATTTTAGCTGAATTTCCTGAAATTACTCGACCAGCAGGTGTACATAGAACCATTACACATAACACAGTTCATCACATACGCACCACACCTGGTCCACCCGTTCATTGCAATCCTCGACGTTTAGCTCCAGACAAGTTAAAAATTGCGAAACAAGAGTTTGAGTCAATGTTGGCTAATGGTACAGCTAGACCTTCAGAGAGTATGGACTCTCTAAATGCAATGGGGATGCCCATGGGGGCATCCCCATTGCATTTAGTAGCTAAAAAAGATAACGGTTGGCGTCCTTGCGGTGATTATCGCATGCTAAATGCCAGGACGATTCCTGATAGGTATCCGATTAGACACATTCATGATTTTACTCATTCTATCTCCGGTTGTAAAGTGTTTTCTACTATTGACCTTGTTAAAGCATATAATCAGATACCTGTCAATATCGAGGACATTCCGAAGACAGCTATTACAACTCCTTTTGGTTTATACGAATTTCCGTATATGACCTTCGGGTTGCGTAACGCAGCTCAATCTTTTCAAAGATTTGTTGATGAGGTGACTAGGGGACTTGATTTTTGTTATAGTTATTTAGACGATTTCCTTATTTTCTCCCGATCTGATGCAGAGCATGAACAACATTTACGTACAATTTTTACTAGAATGAGAGAGTACAGTATAATAATTAATACAGCTAAATCAGTTTTCGGTACATCAGAAGTTACATTTTTAGGTTATCGAATTTCTGAGAAAGGTACAAAGCCACTTGACACTAAGGTGAAAGCTATTAAGGATTTTCCTCCACCAAAAGATGTCAGGCAGCTTAGACGGTTTTTGGGCATGATAAATTTTTATAGGCGTTTCTTACCTCATGCTGCTCAAACACAGGCACCCCTCAATTCTCCTTTAGCAGGTTCAGTTAAAGGTTCTAGTCCTATAACTTTAACAGGAGATACTCTGAAAGCTTTTGAATCTTGTAAAGAAAGCCTTTCCAATGCTACACTTTTAGCCCATCCTGATTGCGAAAGTAATCTCGCGTTAGTGACTGATGCTTCAGATACAGCTATAGGTGCAGTATTACAACAACTTAGGAATGGCGTTTGGGAGCCTTTAGCATTCTTTTCTCAAAAACTCAGTCCATCTCAACAAAAATACTCACCATATGACCGGGAACTGTTAGCAATTTATGAAGCAATAAAATACTTTCGTCATATGCTCGAGGCTAGACATTTTATAATTTATACTGACCATAAACCGATCAGTTTTGCTTTTCATGAACGGAAAGTTAACTGCTCGCCTAGGCAGTATAGGCATTTAGATTATATTTCTCAGTTTACCACTGATATCCGTCACATATCCGGCAAAAATAATGTGGTAGCTGATACATTATCTCGTGTTGAAGAGCTACAATCACCAAGCAGTTTAGTGGCTATAGCACAAGCACAGGATACTGATTCCGAATTATCTCATTTCTTAGTTAATCCAAATTCTTTGCGTCTTGAAAAACGAGAATTACCTGGAAGTTGCGTTTCCTTGTATTGTGACATCAGTACAGCAACTCCTAGGCCGTTTGTACCCAAGACATTTCGAAGAGAAATCTGTAACAGTCTGCATTCTCTGAGCCATCCTGGTCCTAACGCGTCTGCTAAATTAATAGCTCAGCGCTTTGTTTGGCCTGGCATCAGAAAGGACTGCAGATTGTGGGCTAAGTCATGTATAGCTTGCCAACGTGCTAAAGTAAGTCGTCACGTATCCACTCCATTAGGCACTTACGACTTACCTCGAGCACGATTTAAAATAGTGCACATTGACATTATTGGTCCTATGCCTTCATCTCAAGGTTATCGGTACTGTCTCACTGCTGTTGACCGATTTACAAGATGGCCGGAAGCAATACCTATAATAGATATTACAGCAGAATCTGTCGTTAAGGCGTTACTTTCTGGCTGGATTTCTAGATTTGGCTGTCCGGAAGAAATTGTTACAGACCGTGGTCGTCAATTTGAGTCGGCAATGTTCGAACATTTGTCTAAGATGACCGGGTTTCAACACAAACGAACTACAGCCTACCATCCAGCTTGTAATGGTCTTGTTGAACGATTTCACAGGCAACTTAAAACTTCAATCATGTGCCATGCAAATAGTTCTTGGACGGAATCACTTCCGTGGGTACTATTAGGTATTCGAAGTTCTTTTAAGGAAGACTTACAAGCTTCTCCGACAGATCTTATTTATGGAGAGCCGATAAGACTGCCTGGTGAATTTTTCGATCGTTCTTCAGAAGGAGCGACCGATGTAACAGATTTTCTTGCACGTTTACGTACATTTGCAGATAAAATTAAACCTGTTGCTGCTTCACGTCACAGAAGTGACAAAATATTTATTTTCAAGGATTTAGCCACTACCAATCACGTTTTCCTCCGAGAAGACGCTTTGCGTAGTTCACTTCAACCAGCATATACAGGTCCATATGTTGTAACACATAGAGGTGATAAAATTTTTAAATTGCTTGTAAAGGGTAAAGAAGTCACTGTGTCTATCGATAGGCTTAAACCCGCTTTTATTCTCAGTGACCAACACGAGTCTACCAATCAGGATTCCAATATTACCACAAATCGTACTACTAGTTTTGGACGTCGTGTACATTTTCCAGACTTTTATCGCCCTTAGCCAGGTCTCAAGGGGGGAGTAATGTAGGCTACCAACCTACTTGCATAAACTAGCCATATAACACAGACACATTTTAATAAAAAGTATATTGTCAAAAATGTCAAATTAATTCGCTTGAAAATTACTGATCTAAATGAGTTGTTAAATTAATTATTATTTGTTATTTTTAATTCTCTTATTATATACACTGTCATATATTCAATCTTTTATTAATATCACTCCTTCTGTATATCAACACGCCAACCATAACCACACGTGTATATCTTGTAAATAAATAAAAAAGAATTGAATATTTTCCAACCGGTAGATTTATTTTTGCTTTTTTTGCTGAATTTAATTTCGTACAAGGATTCCAACAAAGACGTCGATATAGTGTTCCTACTGAGGTAGAGAACTCTTAGTAAGGACGTCATTCGATGTCAGTCAAGTATGCAATGGAATGTTGTTGTGAACTACTGTGTTTACTGTTTTTGCCTATCAGCTGAAAGTATATAAACAGATAAGACAAAATTTATTTGACTTTTATTAAAGGATTTATAATAATATTACATTTTTTGTTTGTCTACAATAGAAGTGTAAAAAAATGACGATAATGGGTAAATTTCTCCAGTTACCATGTCGTTATTCCACTTATTTAAACAGTTTCCGTAGGTGAGTGTTCAAAACTTAAAATGTTCTAAAAATAAAATACTTGTATCAGTAATTTAACTTGTATGAGAATTATATAATTTAGAAACATTTAAATTAAAAATAATTAGTACCTTTATACCAACTCGGTATAAAGGTACTTATTATTTTTAAATAATAAATATAATTGGTTTTCATTTTTTATATGAATTGTCTATGTAGTTAAAATTTTTCTGTAAAAAGAAGTTAAAGCGGGCAAAATATAATATTTCACCAGTGTATATTGGACAGATACCTAGCCTACAGTCCTGCTTCAAGCATGAAATTTACATATCAATATGTAATATTTTCCTTTAGGTCAATCTAGTAATTCTTTATAAACCTATAAAGTAGCTAGGGACTTCATAATTTGTAAATTAAGTTTTTCAGTGTTTCTTATTTACAAGTTAAAAATCTAATTGTATTATAGTATACATTAATTGATACAAAACCAATATTTCCTTTTAGTATATAAAATTTTGTATCACTATTTAAATTCAAATTATGAAACTTGACAATATTCAATATTCATTTAATTTCCGATTTTTATTTTCATTTTAGTCAGTAGTAATTTGCTACTAAAACTAAAACTATAAGAATAATAATAACTTCATATGTTCTATGTAAAATGGAATAGTTTGATAGCAATGTATTTTTTGGAAATTACTCTTACTAGCACAGTTAATTGATTAAAGTATCAGATTTGACAATTACCACAGCATTAATTACATAAAAGGAAATTATGAACCTAATCTAAATTAAATTATTTTAGCTGTGAATTAAGAAATACCACAATTAAAAAAAAATTAATGATACAATGGCTAATAAATATATATTTTTTAGATATGTGACAGTAAAAAAGAACTACTATGACATTGTAGTAATTGGGGGAGGAGTAGTTGGATCTGCATCTGCTAGAGAATTATTGCAAAGATATCCACATTTAAAAATAGCAATTGTAGAAAAGGAAAACAGATATGCTTGTCATCAAAGTGGTAACAACAGTGGAGTGATTCATGCAGGTATATATTATAAACCTGGGTCATTAAAGGCAAAATTATGTGTGCAAGGTCTTGACCTAACTTATAAATATTTGGATGAGAAAGGTATAAAATATTCCAAGTGTGGTAAATTGATTGTTGCTACACAAAGATCTGAGGTGCCAAGATTACTTGATTTGTATGAACGTGGCCTTAAAAATGGAGTTAAAGATATACAATTGTTAGACAACAAAGAGATTCTTGAAATTGAACCTAATTGCAAAGGAATACAAGCTGTTTGGTCTCCTCACACAGGTATTGTAAGTTGGGCGGAAGTCACAAATTCTTATGTGGAAGATTTTATCAAGGCTGGTGGTAAAAGTTATTTAAACTTTGAAGTTACAAAATTTATAGAAGCAGAAGATGGACAATATCCTGTTATGATAATCGATAGCAAAGGTTCTGTTATTCAGGCCAAATATGTCCTGACTTGTTGTGGGTTGCATTCAGACTCTGTAGCTGTATTAACAGGTTGTCCAGAGGAACCAAAGATTATTCCATTTAGAGGAGAATATTTATATGTAGTTCCACATAAAAGCAATATTGCAAAAGCTAATATATATCCAGTGCCTGATCCTAGATTTCCATTTCTGGGAGTTCACTTAACACCAAGGATTGATGGGCGTGTTATAGTTGGGCCAAATGCTATTCTAGCATTTTGTAAAGAAGGATACAGGTAACATAGGTGTTAAATTTTTTAAATGATGAATTAATTGTGCTCCCTATAACCCTATTGCATCTGTGTGAATAGTATACTCTGGTACACTAGCAAAGAATGAATTCAGTTTAGCTCATCATCATCATCATTAATCTCATGCTCCATAAATAAACATATACAGGGGGGAAGGGGATTGCTAGTAATGTGGATTGATGATCTTATTGCTAGCAACATACCCTTTCAGGTTGACCTCCATACAGGTTTCCCCTGTAAACTATTGTGATAAATTCCTGGTGAATTTGTAATGATTGTCTAACTGGCTTGTACTCATGTTCATCTTATCATCCTCCACTGGTACCCTGCCAGTATAAACCGGTAGCGGACCATTCCATTATCGCCCATAGAAATAGTAATATGTTAAATTCAGGAATGTTATAGTTATATTTATAGTCATAGTTAATGTTAAATTCAGGAATGCTCCAGCAGAACCGTTTACTTTGCAAAACAAATTGAAAATCTGAAAATTTCAATTTTTCACATAATAGTAATCAATCATGTGACTGCAAATTTTAAGAACATTCAAAAACACTCTTTATTCTACCCTATCTATACTTATATTATAAAGAAGATTAGTATGTTTGTTGTTTATTGTATATAAATCGCAATTAAAAAATAGCAATATATTAGTGAGTTACATAGGCTTATCATCAATTCATGACTGTTTACTTATCACAATGTAAATATTTCAGATGGGGCGATATTAATTTAAAAGAATTAAAAGATATATGTTCATTCTCGGGATTTCGTAAAATGGCTATGAAGTATGCCGGTTTTGGAGTGAAAGAGATGATGAGATCAGCAATAATGCCTCTTCAAGTAATGCAAATACAACGGTATATACAAAATTTAACAAGTGCAGATGTTGAAAAAGGACCTGCCGGTGTTCGAGCACAAGCTATGGCGAAGGATGGTACATATTTTCTTTGGTATTTGTAATTTAATTTTTTAAATGGCAAAACTGACCTGTAACCATCAAGTAGGTTACTTGATGGTTACAGGTAACTATTGACTCATGAACAGTACAGTGTACATTCTGTTATCATTGAACACACTTAATATCTGTCGTACGTGACTATACCATAGGCTTAAAATGTTATATATCTCATCCTGTAATTGCGCTACCTAATGTGAAACACAGCTTACAAGGAAGCTGGTGGGCAGCTGAAATAGGTAATACTGAAGTACCCATAAATAGTTGGTTATCCCCCAGGTGTTGAGCTATCTTTAATTATAATATACCAATGCTGAAGGATATTTTTAAATCTTCCTGAACTAATTAAAAAAAGCCACATTGGCGAAATCACTGATAAAAATTGATATCAGCCATTTAAAATAAAGAATAAGAAGAGGCATGCAGACTACTTTTATAGTCTACCTCTGGTAATGGTAACTACACTGTAGTTAGTTTTAGTTTCAATATTCCTTGTGATATTATTAAATACTTTACAGGTACCTTAATTGAAGATTTTGTATTTGATTCGAAACCGGGAACTGGAGCTATTGGTAGCAGAGTTTTGCATTGTCGAAATGCGCCTTCACCAGGCGCTACCTCATCACTAGCCATAGCAAAAATGATAGCGGACAAAATGAAAGAGGAATTCAAATTGTAATATTTTTTGTTATTCAGTCATACATCACAAATATGTTATTTTTCTATGATTTCATAGAATTGATAAAATATTTGCTTAGTTGGGGATCATTATTATGATTTAGATTATTCTAGATATTTTGTTATGTTTTAAATGGGCACTTTCGTTTTCTCAGAATTTTGTTTTCAGTACTTTTTTACTGAATTAAATTCTTCTTTTTTAATCTTCTTTAAATCAATTTTAAAAAAATGCTATAAAACTTTAAGAAATTATATGTATATATAAACATGTATATAAAATACATGTTTATAAACGTTGGAATAAGTCAGTGTATTACAGAGGAAAAATTAAGGAAATGGTATTATTTTTATATGATTTAAAATGTTAAAAAAGTAGTAATACTACTAAATAAAATAAATTATTAATACTTATTTCGCCAACTATCAGGGTCAATATTATGAATTAAGTTTAAGATTAAAATTCTATCTTATATATGGAAGGAGGATCTAAACTACTATCCAATAGGACTGCTATTGTGATTGAATGATGAAGGTGCTGCTTTAGTCACTAGACTACAAATTATTTAGTGCTAAGTAAAATATGAATATATAGACCTGAATTTGTAATAACCATCTTATGTTTAGAATAATTTTTGTCATTGTTATCTAATAGTTACGTAGTATCTTCATTTTTGACATGTTAATTTTTTTATATATTTTTTTTTATTATTTGTGTTATAATACACATATGTATGATGTACATATATTTATAAGTATAGGTAGGAAAAGTAAAATAAAATAAATTTACAGAATAAATTCATAATAATCAGAGTACAATTTCTATTAACAACATCACTACTTAATACATATTCACATCATGTTAGTTTCTAATACTTTTTTCTACTATACAGCTACTGAAATAATATTTCTATGCTATGAATTGGAGGGCAGTTTAAATAATAGTTTTAATATATATTTCAATTTAAAACTACAATACCCTGTCATAGTATGTGTTGAAGAATAAAAAACAGTCATATTTTGTTATTTATATTATTTGTTCTCTTCTTAAGTCATATTCATTTAAAAAAGTAATTAACTTAACAGTATAACAATGCTCTAAATTTGAATTTACAAATAAATAAATAAATTAGAAATGCTTTTGTTAAGAAATTGTGTTACCAAAGATTTTGAGGAAAATAAATCCTTTACCTTGTTTTAGTCATTCAATAATAATACCTCTTCTAGACAAATACACAAATTGTACTTGTAAATCATATACAGTTGTTAAGTGAAATATGATATTGCTAAATACAACAATGTATTCAGAAAATCCAAACATTGAGTAAACTGGAATAAAATAATTTTTACATTAGAGGACAAACACTTTTTATATTAATTATATATATATTGTTTGTTTATATAATATTAATATAATATATTTCTATATTATTATATATAAACAAACAATGTACATAAGTATACAACAACATGTTCAAAAGTCAATACTTCTGGGTCATGCAGTTTGGATAGTACTAGGCAGTCAAACTAAGAACTAGTTACTATATATTTTAAAAATAAACATAAACTTACCATATGGTTCACAAAGTCGGTTATGCCTCAAGAAAAAATAAGCAGCTAGAGTGAATGAACTTATGTTCACGATGAAGGCTCTCCATTTTAATTTTACTGATTGCATTTCTAAACTTGTAATGTTAGGCCTTCTACGATACCTTGTAAGCATCAGACATGTTAATAACATATAAAACACTGAAGTGCCAATAAATGTTTTGAATGACATTTCATGATATGCTGAAAAAATAATAAGGGTAATTGAAAGTATTTGGTAATTTCAATTTCACAACTGATAGACAACCCCCGATAGTTGAATATTTTTCTTAACTACATTCAACTAACATCAGATAGCCAACCAATGAGCTACTTTATATGTTATAGATCCTATTTGCCATATAATAACAATCCAAAGAATGTCTTCATGATTATATTATAGTAAATCCCATATGGAATAGAATAAAACTATTTTTTTTAAACTCACTGAATAATTAATTTTTATATTGGTCAATAGTCAATAGTCTAGTAGTTAAATACACAGTTAACACTTTCCAATTATTTAAGTTACACTAACAGTAGTAAACACTTACGGTAGTTAGCCATTGATGTCCAATGTGTTAGTCCTAATAATGCTAAGTTTTCTATTATATTTAATGATACTGCTAATTTCACTACAGAAATACAATTGTCCCTTACAACATTTCTATAATAATTCCATCTTAAATATATTATTAAAAACCTTATTGGTGCATGAACATATATTGCAGTCTTCCAAATTGTACTTTGCGGTTCATAGTTACCAATGGAAGCTGATATTGATGGGAATACATTTGGCACATTGCAGTGTGTATTATTTGCATGTTCAAAATCTTTGTACATGGTCATGAGTAAACAAGTTATAAAGGCAAATAATGGCAGTGATACTGTAAAGAATCCCAGCTTGGAAACTTTAAATCTGATAAAATATTTTCTTCCTGAAACATTGTGAAGAGGAAGATACATTTAATTCTATCTGATAGCTTTTGGCAGTTTATTCAGATAACCCGAATTATCACTTAACCCGGAAGGACCTGGGCTATTTTTAAATTATCTTTACTATTCGTATTCTTAATATTTTCTCGCTTCAACACTGGGACCAGTTGTGTAAAAATAAATTATAATTAATGGCATGAAATAAACATGAAAACGTATTTTTGTCATTAGTATATCAGTCTAGTCTGGTACTTAAAATAAATAGAGACATTTGTAACATTTGTTGACTGTAGTGGATGTAAAATAATCGGCTAAAGATAAATCGATTATTAATTAATATCATATAAAAATACAAAATGAATATTCATAAAATAAAACCTGTGAGTCTTACTAAAAAAATACGTTGGACTACTTAAAAAAATATATCAAGTTATAATATACCAAAGAAAATAAATATATATAGGTCAAGGATACATTAATCCAAAACCTAGTTTTAAAAATCGATTATTACTCTAACAAAATCATCGATTATTTAATAAGTCATTTATTCATCACTCTATCACTGTCAATAGAGTTTAATCAATTTTTGTAGATTCAATATTTATCTTCAAATTTAAAACCTACTGAAACATAAATCGATATTTTATACAGAATGCACATCACTACACAATAGTCACAGATTTGACAGATAAAAAAAAACATTATTTTTCTTTTTATTTAATATTTTACGGCTCTGGATACAAGTCCTTTTTAGCCCAACATAAAATGCAAAAACTTAAAAACAATTACAATTTCTTCACAGTGTTTGAAATAAATTTATATAGTCTTGAATGGTGCAGGCCTTGATAAGATCTCTTCTAGAGACTTCGGTACTTCACTACTATGCTCTTGAATCTGGTGAATGAGTAATAATCTGGCTAGTCCGTAGTTTCTACATTTGAATATAATATGATTCAAATCTTCATCTTCATTGCAATAAGGACATTTTGGGTTGTGAACCATTTTCAGTCTATACAGGTGAGTGCGAGTTTGATTATGGCCAAATCTCATACGGTTAATACTCGTGATAAATTGTCTGCTGTCGACGTCTTTATTGTTATGGTACCAAGGTTTGGCGGGCAGGCTTCCGTGGATCTTGGCATACCACTTTCCCTTATCGTTAGCAATATTTATGTAATAGTAATTCCATAATAATTTTAGAACATTTTCAAGTGAGCTACATTATGAACATTCCGAGCAGCTTGATCCGCTATTTCATTTCCAGCTATTCCTTTATGACCAGGTACCCACAAGAATGTTACCTGCTTACCGTACAGATACAGATAAGATAATACTAGTGGTGTTGATTTAACTTTTTATATTTAAAAAGTAATGTATTATAAAATTTTGATAGTTCGTTCCTAAGATTATTGTAAAAAGTAACATTATATTTTTCTTTCTGAATTTACTAAAATATTTTATTTCTTTATATAATAGAATATATATGATTAGTAGATCGATTAGAAAGTGTCATTCATCTATAAATTCACTCATTCTATGTACCTGCTGTACCGGAACCTATTGTACCTTGTTAACAAGATCATTGATTTATCCAATCCATCACAAGTGGTATTGCCAAATTACTAAATTGCTTTTCGTCAAAATGTCCAAAATACATAAGACCAAGTTTTAAACTAACTGTAAAATCAATTGAATCCAATTGTGTCCAATTCTAGTCACCTAAACACCTATTTAATTATTATGAGGGCTTAAAATTTCATCCATTTCGGTTCAGTCATTTAGTAGTTAGTTTACAAACTGCAGGTAAATTCACTGGGTTAACTGGGCTGATTTAATAACCTTCCTGTCATGCTCCACTAGTGGTCCGCTAGCGTGAAGGCGAGTGCATATTGTCGTTATTCCTTGTATGAATAAATAAATAAATTGTCGGTTTTAACTGACAACAAGAGTTTTATCAATAAAACTGTTAATTCGATAACCATGGATACAGTGAACAAGTAGGTATATTACAGAGATGAATAAGAAGCCTATTGTGTTATGGAGGCAAAACTAATTTAAAATATTTTGTACTTGAGTGCTTAGATATTATATTGTAGTAAATGAAATAATTAAATTTTGTACCATTTATAAAGGCCCTTAATAATATGGCCACAACAATAATTACAAAATGGAGGATTTACTAAGAAAAGACATTTTTAAACAAAGAGACTTATATAAGCTGTCTCCAGATTACGTGTCTTCTGATACCGTACTGCGATTGGAATTGAGGAGATCTCAGGTGAGATTTATTTGATATATTTCATTTCTATTTGATTGTGTGTTGCTATCATAAAAAAACATTTTACCTGATTACTCTATTCTTTATGTTAAACAACCATTTATGTATGTAGGTAGACGAAGACTGACGAAGGTACACAGTTCACGGGTATTAGTCGCATATCGTCGACTTCGTCAGCTTCTTTGAGAGTGTTAGTATTGGCGACTGTTTTTATTGTTTGCTAGCAGGTTGACCTCCTGTCGCGGTCACACCTGGAAGTCATCCTGGCTAATTCATCACTGGTATACATGTAGGTGCACGCGGATGCACAATTCCATTATTAGGTATTACCCTGTAAAAATATGGCAGCTAGACGTATACAGATTATACTAATACAAGCCTATTTATTATCATCTACATATACAAAATTTATCACTACTAAATATTTTCAGGTCAAAGCCACTACTGGTAATCACGGCATAATGAAGAATGTTAATTGGCATAGGTAGGTATAGCACTCTGGTAACCTATTTAGAAATTGGTGTCGGATGTAATTCAAGGTTTTCATTATTAATTTTTTTTCAATGGGCTGATATCAACTATGTTTAATATCTATCATATTCCTAATTTTGAAATATTTTTAAACAGCGAAATGTAAAGAGTGTATATTTTATTTTGTATACCTACATTTCTGAGGTATAATTTGTATAAATTCGTAGGCATGTCAACCTCACCTTCAATAAGCGATATATGGACTGCTGTATCTTCATTCCAGAAAACCTTACGTAAGATTTCTTACGTAATTGGAATGGCAAACATGTCCCACCTGACATGATGTCATCATGTGGTGCTTCTCATGCGTTGCGTGGCGACGCCGACGCAGTAATGTTACTATAGGCGTCACTTGACGGAGACATGTCTAGTTAATGTATTATATATATTGTTTGACCATTAACATCCAGACCGTAGTTTTTTTGCCACTATGTCATGATCAGTTCATTGTAAGCTGTAGGTTTTGTCCTACCTATGGTTTTATTTAATTTCAGCAAAGAAATACGAAAGTCAAAGGATAGCACAGTTAATAAAGAAATAACAAAAATACGAAATGGCTTTAATTGCACGAATTTAAAAAATAAACAAATGTTAAAAGATGCGATGAAATCGGCACATACTATAGGAAATAGCGTTTACGACTTTAATAACAGATTGTTAACAAAAGATTTCAATGAAATAACAGATACCTGTTACCGAGGAACGTTAGAAGATAGCGATAAATTAATTGTATGTAATGACATAGATTTTAAAATATGCAGAAACAAGAAAAAAGTTGTTAAAGAAAATCTAAAAATAAACAATTTAAATAGAACTAATTCAAATGAATACATAACAAGTACAACTACAAACGATGAAATAAATAGTATATTGCGTATTGATTGTATATATCCTTCTGAATCATTAAATAGTATAGAACTCACCGACTGTGACATGAGTTGCAATCTGGATACGAACAGTTCAAATTCAAAGGATTGTAACAGAAAATATACAGAAAATAAAGACATAACAACAACTGATTTACAAACAACGTTGATTATGATGGCAATATCTTCAAAATCACATGATAATGAAATATTTGACAGTTCTCCTATAAATATTACGGAATCAATAAGGCATCATGATTTAACCGATAATAATATACCACATAACAGAACTTTAATAAATACAACTGTAAGTTGCGAAGAAATCCCAAAATTTTTGAATGTAACAGCTCTGAAAGTTGAAATTAGTAACAAAGAATTATCTATTATACGGAAATACATCACAAAGTGGAAAGATTACGTTTCCAATAGAAAAGAGTATCAGTCTCAACAAAGACTAGAGACATTGAATAATTTTTTTGATAAACTTTCACGACGAAAGGAAACAAATAATTCATCTGATTCTACGAATAAAGCCAAACAGCTAGCACGAGACTACAGTACATATCAACATAGGTATGTGGTATACAATTTTAAAATAAGTCAATTTGTGTGGATATGTTTTGCAAAATATATTAGAACTTTACTTATTGTAACTATAATTATGATTTATGAGTTATTTAGAAACTTAAATTTAAAATGCTTGAGCATTAGTGAAAAACTAGTATTTATAGAATAAAACATGACAATATAAACATATCTCTCTCACTCATAGGGTTAATTTCGAACTCTTTACATTCTTGGGATTATTTATTCAATCTACTGGATTGCTATCTATCTTGTTGCCTTCCCTACACTTCTATACATCTAATACCTACGTATATTCATTTCATCACTAATAGTAAGGGTAAATATTTCGTATAGAAGACGTAAATGATCTGCAAATGTCGCAATAATAATAATAATAAAAAACATACAGCGCCATCTAGTTCCCAAGATAAGCAGAGCTTGTGTTATGACTACTAGATAACTGGTAGAAATACAAACAACCAAAATAATATAAATCATATCAAAATTATATATATACATATAAAACAATATTTTACATAAAGATATAATATTCGTATGTAGGTCTCATAATTAAATTATATAAAATAGAAATGATTAATTTTAGATATAAAATACAAAAACATATAATTGCACTACAAAAAGTAAAACTTGAAGAACAAAACAGAATAATAGAGGAACTGAAGTATAATAAAATAGTAGAGGCTTCAAGACAATCAGTAGACGCTATGAGGGAAGAAGTACGAAGAACGTATTATGAAATAGATAGACAGTTAAAGCCTAAGATAAAATGTTTGACTAATGAACTAAAGATACATGAAATTGAAGGTAAGAATACTACGTCGGACGTTAATGTGAAACTATTTTTAACATGATATATATATATGTGGTTTATTATTACAGAACCATCACTCGTATTGCATTGCTTAAAAGTCCCTCAATTTTTACAAAGAATGGAAAAAAGGGCTCGAGAAAGGGAGGAAAAACATGCAATTATTAGAGAAAGGCGAAGACAAATGGAGGAAGAACGCATTAGACTGAAACAACAAGTAATTATTTCTAACGTCAATTCTATTAATCCATTTATTAAAAAATAAACAGATATTTTTAATAACGAATAACAATTCATACTGCGTCGTGTAGTTTCAAATTAAGCAGAACTTGTATTTTTGTGATACAAATATGTACCATGTGAATAATTGAACCGGCGATCAACGGAAGTAAGGCAGTAAGTAGGTTTAGGTTGATAAGGGTAATTAAAAAATATTTCCTTGTTGATAGGCAGAGTTGGCGAAAGTAGAAATGGATAAGGAAGAAAAAATGAAACGAATAAAAGAGCTGAGACTGAAACGCAAAAGAGAAAAAATTGATGGAATAAGAAGAAAACAATACGCTGAAAAAATGAGAGCTCTGGCAGTGATGGCAGATTTGCATTATGAAAAAAATTTAACAATAAAATATGGCATCCGTCCTTTCAAAATATTGTTAGCTATAAAATATGATAATATTGAGAGGGCGAAAGCGCATTACGCCTTTCAACTTAAGAAAAATGTATTCTTGCACTACATGTGGCACACTGAGGACATGTGGTTCGAAAGAAATTATAAAGCGGAAGATTTCTATAGAAAGATAATTCTAAAAAAAGCATTTAATAGTTGGAAACTTGTAAGTATAGTGTAGTATGGTTGGATGTTTTAAGAATGTACAGGTAACTATTATAAGAATTTAAAAAAACGAGCTGGTAACGAAATATTGTTTATTAAGTAGAAATATTTTAATTATATACAACAACTTATATCACAGTTAACTATTTTACTCCAGTGCTGTTTCGTTTATACTTGTATCACATAGATATATGATTTTATGTGATTGTCGCAGTAATTAACAGTAAATACAATATACGGTAGTACTTTCACCTGATGTTTAATGACACTATAGTACCTAGATCGTTAAGCATAAGTAACATCCAGAACAGTAGAGTAACTCGAAGCGAATAAATCGGAATCGCATTGAATAAGATATTACCTACGTTTGTATGTACCTTGATGGTAATTATAATTTTATGGCATTATTTCAGGTTTTTATTACATATGTTAAGTTTAATTACAGTTTCATATTTTTAGATTGCAATTTAGAATAATGTATACTAATATTATTGAACTAATGTAAAACTAGTGTTGTGAAGGTGTGATATACACGGACAAAATTATGAGCGATACTTATCGCTCTAAATTTTTAATTTTATTTGAATACTATTATCGTGAATATTACGAAACCAATTTCAAAGATGAAAAACTTCACAGTGGTAATGGAAAAGCATTCTAACACTACGGCTAGAGATACTTAATAAATGAATGCTAACGTAGGTACCTGAATATTTACGCTGTTAAGTTAGTAGTTAAACACTAACGTATCTAAATAAAATTTATCTCTTGTCTTGGGTTCAGACAGCGTGGAATTTGGCTATGTAAGGGTAGCATATATACCTACTTCTTTACCTCAGATACCATATATCTACGTCTATCTATTTCACTGGCTATAGTTACTATGGTTGATATTTAGAATATAGTATCTATATTATATAATGCTCATAAAAGTGAGCAGTTATTGGTGTGTTAATTGTAGCGTTTAATGTAGCAAATGCTGACAGAGACAAAATATTTTAGACAGACAAAGTATGATAACGTGTGGAGTATAATATCATTTGGAACTCCAAGTACAAGTTTAATTTTTATTTTCTTTTTAGGCTTATAATACGTATGTCATTAAGAAACAAGTTGCCGAAGATTATTATGATTTATACGTAACGCAGTTAGTGTTTAGGCGATTTTGTAAAGGAATAGAAATCATTAAGAAAGAGCATGAATTGAAATTACAGAAAGCAATCGTATATCATAACAGGTACTGATTTTCATACCGTAACCAGATAAATTACAAATAATAATTGTATTTGACTATTGACTACCGTTATTATGAATTCTTTGTATGTTTGCAGCAACTTATTGTTCAAGATATTTACATGCTGGAGAACATTACCGGCTTTGAATGCTCTTAAGAGAGAACAAGAAGCTAGAAAAGCCAGATGGAGAGAAAAGGTGCTTTTAGTAGTCCCTGATTATAAGCCACCTGAAGATTAGTTCTAGGATTATAATATAGGAACGTACTTTGAGGAATTAACTGGATTTATTTTCTACGAAGAGGAAACAAGCAGACAGAAGAGATAAAATTGTGTTCGATGGAGTTATACGTTTATATTTTTAAAACTACTTTTAATTATGGATACCGACTATAAATACGTAAAATTATTGTTATAAAATTATTTACATGTTAAGAAAATTATAATCTGATAAATTGTAGAAATATGTTGCGTGTGCATAAGTTTACATAAGGTATAAAAAGATATTATAATTACTTGCATCAACAAATAAATTTCATATTTCATGGACTCATTACAAATTTGAAATGAGGAGATAATAATAGATAATAGGTATGTACGAAAAATGTAGGAACACGAGTTACAATTATCACTATTCAATTTTAATTCTATTCTATTTTCTATTATATGTCGATTATTTTCTTTGTATAAATTATTTAGCATAATGTTGCTGTCGCTGGATTTCCAATTATCCCCATTTATTTTTAGTACATTCTACGAAATGACGTACCTAAATTTAAACATATATTATTTAAGTACATTTCATAACATAACGGGCCAAGTACTGAGAAACTATAAACAGTTTCATTTAGTGTTATTACTTTCACACATTAAGATGGTAAGAGATTTAGTGGAAGAAATGTTCAAGTATAAAATAGAAAACTGGTAAATTAATCAGTCATAAGAAGACAACAATTGACCAAGGTATAATGTTGAATAGTGACTGTGGTGAAGATAATAGGAAATTCTTAAAATCTACCTTGAGCAGAAGAGTTGTATACTACAGCGTGGTGTCCAGATTAGCATAAACACTAAAATACATATAAACGTTTGAAATAATCCTAATATATACTATGTATATCCATATGAATAATAGTTGGTGCCATTATTACAACATATACTTTAGATTGCCTTTTATTTTTTTAAATATCACAAGAATTATAACCAATATAAGGAATTGTAATAACTTACAACAATATATGAAGCTATAAATTTATTGAAAATGACTAGAAGTAACAGTTACATGTACTAATTACTAACTTTCCATAGATCATAATTATTGTAGGCTTACAATCTATTGTATATATTAAATGATACAATAAATATATTAACTAGATTGTCTTGGATAGATAATAACTTCATTTTTATAGTACTACTTCCTTTAATCTTAGTACATATAAAGAATTTTTATTAACCTATTTAAAAATCAGTAGATATGTACAAAGTATATAATTATTAAAACTTTAGGATATTCAATTACTCTCAAGGATATAATCCTTCAGAAAAAATGTTACATAATAATGTCTAATATAATAAGAAATTGATTTACACATTAAATACATTAACTAATTTTCTCCATTGTGGTTCTGAAAAATGAAAAATGAATCAGAAAAATTAAGATATAGGTATACTTATATCTTTACTAACAAAGGTTAATACATTGCTATACTTACCACTATATATTGGAATGTAAATGATTAATTGTTTAAGTAGTACTATTAATATAACTATAAGATATCCCACTCCATATACACAGGAAACAAAGCAAAGGGCCAAACTGGAATAGAATAAATTGAAATACATTATTTGTGTACAAAAATCAAGCATGTATACTTTCCAATGTTTTTTACTTACTTGAATTCATAATATACATCATCACAATTTTCAGGCAGGAGTATAGAGCCATATAATATAAAAGGTTGGCAAACACTTGTTAGACCTAAGTTGGTTCCAAACAATAATGTGGCAAATGCAAGGAACTGTCCAGCTAGGAAATAGCCATAATTAAGTTTCAGTACGCAGCAATCCCACCTAAAATGACAAGACTATCAAATTAAAGGAGTAAAGAATTATTTTATCACTTAGGAATATAGCGCACTTACCATATTGAGTGAAAGAACATATCATTTACTTCAATTTGACATATCCGGCAGTAGCAGGAATCTGCAGTTAGGACAGGACTGAAATATTTTAGTTATACACATTATTTGCAAAAATAATGCAGTAAAACACTTTTCCCAAACAATGCCTCAGAGAGTTAATAGTTTGGTAATGATGATCTTCAGCATAGTTTGTGATGCATTATTTGATTTACATAGATAATATAATATTTTATATATTAGATTCAGTATTGGTAATTTTGTTAAAATTAAATTAATATTATTATCTAAGAAACTATATACCATAATTACTTAAAACCTACCTATATTCTTTTCCTTTTGAAGATCCAGCAGTAAGTTCAAAGTCTCCAACAGTTTTCATTTTATAAAAGAAGTAACCAGTAGATATGAATAACATTAGAAATATAAAATTCTCCAGTTGTGTCACTTCCAATAATCCTAATACTCCAATTTCAAATACTAAGAACAAATATAAGCCAGATGATAATGTCCATGAATAGAAAAATGGTGATCTAAAAATAATGAAAATTAGTATAGTCTTAAATATAATAATGTATATAGATGACAATATACATAGGTCACAGTAAGCTTTGGTAGGTACCATAAGGGACTAATTTATTTATTACTGCCTTGGTATCTAAATTTACATGCAGTGAAGAAATTTTGGTAGTACCTATATTATTTTATTCCTTTGAAATAATTGAATGGAACATGAAATTCCTATAATTGTTTTGGTAGCAAATTTCGAAAATTGTTTCAATTTAAGCTAATATGAATATATATATACTTATATGTTATTATATTATAACATTTACGAATTAATACCTGTTTTTTTGACGTGGCCTGGATAATACGTACGATGTACCCATTGCTATAGCTACCATAACTATGATAGTGGTAGCACGGGAAATCGTCGCTATTAATAACAAAATGGGTAAAATTAAAAAGGGTAATATTGCGTCCATATCTATTTTTCGGCTTGGTTTTTTTCTGCTATAACGCAAAATATCTTCAACACTAAGCAATTTATTGACCATTGTAGTTTTATTGAATTATAAATATGTGATCACTTATGTATAATAATAAAATAAGTTCACTGATTAGAACGAAATAAATAGAAATATTACGAATCAAAATTACTACGACAGGACAACTATGCTTTTTTAATATGTATTCAAAATTTCAACATCAAAATTTTTGTCAGTAAAAATCATAGTTATCTATTGGTTAACTATAATAATAACAGTTTAATAGTACAACATAAACTGTTAACATATTTCGCCAATGACATTGACAGTTGACTTTGTGGACACATGTCGCCGAGTCGAGTAGTGGTAGTCATTTTTTTTTGTTTCGGTTTTTCCTTTTAAGAGAAAGATAAAAGGATTCAGCCCATACAGCCAAGTGGTAGTCATTGTGATATGACAGATCCATTGAGCAAGTAATCACTTGTTTGTCAATTTTGATCTATGTACTCCACGATTCGGTAACGATTTGGTATTTGAGATATGGTTATGACATCAGCACTGAGCTTCGTCTAAGTATCCCCATTGAAATGAAGTTACCATTTTAGCTTGCATCAGTCTCCTAGTGCAGATTTCGATCTACCTTCAAGACTAAGATAGATCGATCGAGTGCTAGTGGCACAACCATATGCCGGATATGGAATAAACAATAGCCGTCTTGTTTATTATAAAGTAGCTTCGATCTACCAGTCTACTGAGGAAACATGATTAAAAAAATATTTTATGACCAGTAAGTATAATTTGTTGATAACATTTACAATCAATTAGTCACATGGAATTATTGGCATATATAATTACTATAGATTATGCATTAAATTACTATATTCCATAAATTCTATGACACTTTAAAAACAATGTGCCAATAGCCATTTGGTTAAATTTAATTTGAAAGCTCGCTCGTTCAACAATTTTATATTGTTAGGCAAATGATTGTAAAGAGAGACAGACATTTTTAATATATTTCTCCTATAAATAATTAGTCACATGAATCTAAAATATAGAACGCAAAACGCAAAACTTCATATCAAATTATTATTGAAGTTTGAACCAAAATTGACAAATTTAAATAAATTTTAATGTTTATGTCAATGTTTCCTGTTAGTCCAGTAAAATTTTAAGTTAAACATAATGGTTGGCCAGTTTTGGCGCAATATATGAAGTAAGTCCGTAAATACGTGAATAATAATATCTAATTAAGTATATCGATTTAAGTTAACGAGAAAGGGATGAAAAAAATAGAAAAATGGGTTAAATAATGAAAAAATGAAAAGAATCTGTTTTGTGCAGGTTTTTATTCTTTATAACTTTTATTTAATTTTTTTTTCATATTTTTACCGTTATCGAGTTATTTTGAAAAAAGCTTTTTACAATTATTTTTTAATTTACTAGTAACATAGTATTTAATTATAGATTTTTTAACATGGAAAGATAAATATGTAGTACCTACCTAGAAATAAATTTTTTAGTGATACGTGTCTGTGCAACACGTTCTCAATTGTTTATTTACAAAATAGTTTTTTTAATTTGCTTTGAGAAGCTTTAGCTTACTTAAGAGATGTTTCGTTACTTCGGTAATAAACGGTATGAATTATTAATTATCGGTGCTACTATAAAATATCCCACCGAGGAAAACAAACCCGTAATATTTTTTTTCATATCGGCTAGATTCAATAAACCACTACATAGATATGTAGATATAGACCATGGGGCTCACATTTTACATTTACGTATTTACTACAATTTTTTTTAATTCTATTATACCTGTAGTCGCCACATACCTATATCTATTGTTTAAAAAAAAGAATTAATATACTTGTGAATCGGTTTCCACATTACTTCTTTCCCGCCAGTGTATACTGTTAGCGTAGGTGGGTTTAGCCTATGCTAATATTAAACGCTGGGAGGGTATCAGTGGAGTACCATAGGATTTTGATAAACTTAGATCAGTCAGTCCATTTTGTCGAATTTATCACAAGGGTTTCTAGGTGCAACCGCGTGGAAGTCGATATTGCTAGCAATATTCGCACTACGAACAATCTCTTCCCTGGGGGTAACATAAATAAATGAACAACTGGTGTTGTTCATTTATTGTGATACCAAGATTTTATCCATGAGGAAGAAAGTGACAATATCATACCAATACACCAAAACATGCGATATAGAACTACGTAAGGTGGATGAAGCGATGACCTTAAGTGTCCCTGTATAGGCAGGTTACTTACAGGAAGTTCCTTTTTTCTAAGTCTTTTCTCAAAATTGCATTAATGTGAGACACATAATTGTTTTTATGTCTGAGTTTCGTTAATAATTTTAGTAAGCGTAAGTATCAAAGTAATCAGTGCAATGGATGAATGCTATGCAATGGATTTGCAATTGTTACAGTGCGTTAGTGGTCACTCATCATCTGTGTTATGTATTGCTCAAAGTGTTGATCGTTAGTAGATTCAACCTCTACTTGAACAAGAGGCAAGCAGGGGCTGTGGCGCTCGTTCCACCCGACGCACACATGCGCTATGTCAGTCAACAACAGTCGGCGCGCGCACGCGTATTGTAATATTCTACAGTATTTTTTACCTTATCCACCGGCAAAGACTACGACACTAACCAACAGTATTGATCGGGCGTTCGCCGTGAAACGGCGCTTCAAAAATGCGTTACGAATTTTTCCGTGTTTAATTATCCTTTGATCGAACAAGCATTGGACGCCCAATAATAAAAAAGGGCACTGAAATATGGAAGAGTGAATAAAGTGTTCTGTGATTGGAGTGAGTTCGACGATAATGTCGAAGGTGAGTATTACAAATCATTATTTAGTAACAGAGGGGATAGCAAACGATTGAATGGATGGAGGTAGTTTGTTAAAATCATTGTCAAGGACGATTCTAATTAATGCTGGTTTCGATGTCGATATTATCACGTTGGCACATCTAATCGTTGTCTGATGTAGATCCGAAACATACTTAGTAACAACTACGTCTGACTAATGTTCAAGTACTTAACTACTTATCGTGAAATTATGCCATTTCACTGAGGTAGGTTACCATCGTCGCCATTTATGTTACTCTTCTAAAGAAGTTCCGAAACTTACATATTGTATCTAATGATAGGTAGAGAAGTAATGTTTTTTCTATTCAGATGCAAATTAATCGGATTAGATACTTGATAGTAATTAGTATCAAGTATACCATACCATAGCTGTGTAATTACAGTTATGGTATAGGTATAGGTATAGGTACCTATGTACGAATATACTGTATTATATGCTAACTGATGATCAACGCCAGCAAAACAATATGTACCTATATAGGTCCTTGGTTTCTGTTTTTACTATGTATATATATCAATTTCTAATTTGGACTTGATAGGTCGGTACTGCTAGGGTTCTATGAAACGACATGTCAGTTCGTTTTCTGTTAATATAAACAAAGAATAATTTACAATTTTACTTTGCACACGTAACAATTTACAATAAGCATAAGATATAACCACACTAGGAAATGTAAATTAACAGTCACGAATTCTTCAATTTGGCGTAGGTAGGTAGGTAAGTAGACAATATGTTCTACGAACGTTTAGTCGTGTCGGGTTAGGATCGTGTCTTCTCTCAAGTATCGGCCCTACTGACCCAAACAGGGGGTGTTTGGGTTAGCGTTAATTTATCAGATCAACGCGGACTATCAGCAGGACGACTTTGGATACTAATACCGAATGGTGACAGGGGATTGTTAGTATTGGTGATTTAGGTGATAAAATGTACCTAAATTCTAACGACTATAAATTTACAAAAGCTGTTCAAACAAAATGTTATGAGACGTCAAATGTATGTACTGCCGACTACTGCCTTACACAGAAAAAACATCAAAATTTTAGCTATACATTTTTTATCGTTTTTGTGTTATATTTTTTTTTTGTTTGTAAGTAAGTGCTATAAACGTAGGTAGGTATACAACTTACTTAAAATAAGGTTTCTGTTTAATTCAATGAGACGCTTTGGTACAAATCCTACTTTTTTAGTATCGTTATTGACACTAGATTTTAACTTGGTAATCACGATTTATTAAATAGGTATACAATTTATTATTAATATATTTTGTACAAACAGAGAAACATTGCTGACCGGCTCCATGTATGTATATGGCGACGATAACTATGTAGAGTACAGTTTATGTTGGTAGGTACATTCTAATGATGTACCTGTCTATGGTGAAGAATTATTATAAGTCTTTTGAATGGATGGATAATTCTATTACAAGTAACCATACAAAAAATGAAAAAATCCCTCTTGACAATATTGGTACAAATTTTACCATTCTTGTTAATTGTTATTATCTCTATTAGAATTAGTACGGTGCTAGTTTAAGTTCAACCATTTTGAACCCATTTGTGTTATTGTTATTATTATTTATGTTATTTACATAAAATAATGGCTGTGTCATATACTAGAAACTGTAGTGACCCATGCCTATATAATTCATATAAAGGATTGTACAAGTTATCGATAGTTGTAAGACCGATAAGATAACCCTTTGATAAAAATGACAACGTCCCAATTACTGCCAATCCCGTTTCTTATTTAAGGTTTCCAGTCATTTTTATTTGAATATTGTGAAATTTAGATTTTGTCTTAAAAACTGACTAAATAGTGACAATATTGGTCTAGGAACGGGGACTAAACTTTAGTAATGTAAGGTATAGTCAAAATCGGTTTATTAGGTATTAGGGATACTGTAAGACATTTATAAAAATAAATTAACACTCGCTATTGATAATATACAATTATAAAGGATAACGAAGCGGCTTTGAAATAGATAATAAAGGCCGGCTTAGAAACACGGGTAGATATATTACTTAGATATATGCCTGTAGCCTGTTGCTGTAAATTTTTATACAACCAACTTAACGCATTATTCGAGTAAACATATATTTATATTAATCCATAAAGTTGTCAATAATATTATCATATATAGTACATAATTATTTCTACATTAAATAAATAAATAACGCAATGAAATAATTACTTAATTTATTAAAAGTTTACACTAATTTATTGATTTCAATTAATATTTTTTATTAACTTCGTTCTTCACACATTACCCACAGCATGTCTATTATCTATGTATAGTTAAATTACATATATATGTTCTACTTAGATAACTAGCTGTAATTTATTTTCACATTAGCTGGGCTTCAATGCTTGTAGTATGTAGTGAATTCAGATTGATGCATAATGTGACTATATTTATTTAAAGTGCTGGTTACTCTACGCGTTGTTCATTGTCTGATGTCATGGCCATTCACGGCGTATTAAAACGCGTATACTCTGTACACTCTCAATACGAGTACATATATATCTTCATATTTCAGTATCGTCACAAAGAGTAGGTACCATAATTATATGTCATATTTATTTATAAAATGAAGCAGTAGTCAATTTTATTAATATTATCTTATTAAAATTATAAACGCGAAAGTTTGTGAGTATGGATGGATGGCTATTTGTGCTGAATGGATTTCAATGAAACTTTACTCTAATATAGCTTATACATTAGAATAACACACGCATGAAATTTATAGCCTGTGTTATTCTAATGTATAATTAGAATAACACAGGCTATAAATTTCATGCGCGTGCGACCGCCGGAACAGATAGTACATCATATTATTGTACTCCAATAATTAGAAATATCGAAGAGCAAATTATTTAGACACGTAGTACTTATGTTTAGCCAGGTACTGTGCTACTCCTAATAAGTATTAATGTCGGTTCAGTTTGTTAGTCAGTATTCTCAATTCACGTATTGTATTGCGAATGTTTACAGGGATGACAATATATGTAATTTGGTGGTGGTGCTGTGCATGCATATAGGTAACAGTTACCGCTTATCATCAGGTGGACTGTCAGCTTGTTTCCTATTTAAATAAGCATACAATAAAATTGTTTATTTTAGGCAATAGAAAATATCTGTATAGGTTGGTGATGTAACAAGTAGTAATAGGTATCACAAAAAAAATAAAGATGTAGTAAAGCAATAATTTTTTTCATATGATATTTCATATGATCAATTTCTATAAGTATGTGTAGACGTTCTAAGTCTAAATCTGATAAGGATTTCTTCGCGTTAGACCAAAAATGATTATAAAGTCAGACCACAGGAGTATTAGTTTTACTTAAAAACCGCATATTGTTTTGTTTACACATTTCTGTTATTGTGCATTATCTATGTCTACATACTTCAAACGTCTACATAATACATTTATTTATATTTCGGGTATGAATTTATTACGAGTTACATTTGTTATTTTATAGAATTCCAAGCTGAATCTAGGTACTCACTTAATATCTTATTAAAACCTGCCTAGTTACTTCAGATGTAGTGCTTTCGTCATTGTGAGAAATCTTCCGTGGGTCATTGGCATCGCGTTTGCCATTTTTTGCTCTGTAAGTGATGACGGGATGCGCAAATCTTATACGTAAGATAGGCTTGCAGCCAAAAAAATTAACCGGTTATTGAAATATCAATGTTTGACTGAAGTTGAAGGTTTGATATTTAGTTTTGAAAGGAAACCATTTTAATATTTAATACAGTAATTTCCATATAAAGTCATATTTAGCATGTAAAATGGTTATTTTAAAGTTACTAAGACGACACCAGGACATGGTTATGCAGCAATGAATGATATTTATTGAGAATTAAGCAATAAACCAAGTTAATTAAAATATAATCGATCATTTTAGTACGCGTAAATACACACACACCTATGTACATTACTAATTCAAGTGATAGGATCGGCTTCTTCATGTAGGTAGATAAGTATTTACCTACTTAAAATGTATTTTCGTTATACCACAGTAGTAGTATGTTTTATTATCTTCATGACAAGTTTTGTTATTTCGCTGGACAGCCTGTCGTGTTAATTGCAGTTATAAAATATCGAATTTGCTAGTTGCGCTAACGTGTTGCAAGATTGCAAGCATGGCCGAAGTGTATAGAAGCTTGTTTTTGGAACAATCGATACGGTATAAAAAACCTTGGATAAATATTAATACGACTGGAAAACCGGATCCATCGACCGGTATTTTATTAATTTTCAAACATCATGTCTTGAGTAACAATATTTGATTTTTGCAATATAGCAGAACTAAATGAGTAACAAATATTTTACATACCATAGGTAACATAGCATTATATTGCACCTACATAATTACTCACATTCATATTACTTATTATAAATTTATATATCTGATTATTTCATGTATTACAGATACAAAACTGAATATGTATGTAAAAAGAAAAAAACCGTAAAGCATGAAACCTATTGCGAACTATTATTAATCACACTGTTTCTTAATATTTATATGAAGCTGACTGTACGCACCTGTGTAATATAATAGCACTCATTTATTTATGCACTATTAGTTTGTAGATAAAGATCAATAAATTAATTACAACATTTGTCCTAACAGAACGTTGTCAGTTTCATGAACAATATAAATAAATAAATAAATGAAATAACCCTGGGCAATTAACACAACGCCATCTAGTACCACGGTAAGCAAAACTTTGTGTTATGACAACTGATATAAATACTTAGATTTTTTGTAAATATAAGTATTTATATCAGTTTATATGTACATAATACACATAGAAAACACACAATAAACAAACACAGGCCGATACAAACAATCATATCAAACTCATGAATACAAATGCTTGCACCGGGCGAGGAATCGAACCCGCGACCATCGGATAGAAAGCGATGTGCTAAACCGCTGGACCACCAAAGCTGT